AATGATGCACATACACATGTCACATTCACATTCATTTTCTTAATTTCCTGAAGACATGTGGCTGCTTGTCTAAAACAAAAAGTATTACACTGTATAATTGAGTTCATAATATAGATTGATGTAATATATAAAACAATAATAGCATAATGTTAGGTTAAATGAAGCTACACTGTTACAAGTGCCCTCTATTTTGCCGGGTGTCGTTTAATATAACCTGAACTTCACTGTGAAAAGCTAAGGAATTGGGTTTCCATTCTTACAACAGTAAAAAATTAGTGTAAAGAAATATAGCCAAAAGCCACTAGGAGAATTAAAATCATAAACTACAAACTGTTTATTTGACACATAAGGAAGTAGTAGAGGAGGAACAGAAACAAAAAGAGATGAGACGAATTGAAAACATATAGCAAATTGTAGACCAGAATCCAACCATTGTTAAGTGAAGAAATGACAGGACTTTGCAAACGTTAGCAGGACCGCCGAGCACTGTGGGGAGAACAGACATGGGCAAGAGGTGAGGGACAGTGTTAGTGCCACAATTCAGGAGTGACCCGGTGGCCGGGACTAAGTGGGGGGAGGTGTGAGGATGAGAGGGGCAGAGAGAAGGGCTGGAGAAGCAGGAGGTGAGGAAAAGGAGCAGAGGAAAGAATTCTAAAGCAGTGGAAGAGCCTAGCAGGGGGTTCTTTGCATTCGGTATTCAATACATTTTGTTGGACTGCCTAAAAACTAATTGGCTCCTTATGATTAAAAAAAAAAAAAGTTATAAAAATACTAAGTGTCCAGATAAAATATGCACACTGCTTAGATGTGCATAGTTCAGGAAAACAGGCAGTGCTTGAGCGTCGGTGAAGAGCATTGGGACTGCATGGAGCACTCGCAACTTTGAGGTGATGACTACAGGCTCCCGGTTGCAATAGACAGTAACAAACCCTGCTTCTCTGTATTCAGGAGACGTTCTGGACTCACACAGGGAAACTCGGGCTAAGGAATGAAGGTAATTTTAAATGCAACAACCCAGAGCCACAGATCCATAGTCTGGGAAAGTAAAACTTAAGAGCTTTGTAATGCTGTTTTGACACAGGTCTTTTACAAATTGGAATTCTAATCATTCAGGGATTATCAACATTGTGCTACCTACTGTATTAATAAACAAAAAGGAAACTTCGTTTCTATGAGAATCTCTACGTGGTGGCTTCAGACAAAACTTCACCGGGTTTAGAGAGAAAACCCCTGTCTCTACACCTCCATTCCCAGGGCGAGCTCACTCTCTGGCATCAAGTTCCCCGTGGTGAGTTTCCCTGTACAAAGGTCCAAGGGGAGAGGTAAGGAGTGGGAGGCAGGGGGTCCAGTTCAGGGACGGGGATTCCAGGACGAGTAGGGAAGGGGAAGGGGCTGGGCGCAGCCTGGGGGTCTCTCCCTGGTTTCCACAGACAGATCCTCGTCCAGGACTCAGG